ACGTTTAATGACTACTGTCACGGATGTCACGCTGCCCTAGTTCTCAAACAATTCGCTAACTCCGCAATTGTTATACATATAGCTTCCTTTTAACCATGGCTACCGGACTACAAATCTAAACTAATTCATCGAGTACAAAGAAAAACAGAATCAAACGATATTCTTCGCAAAATAACAATGATTTTAATACTCTCGGGGATCTTCGTTTGATGAGGTTTGTGAAAAATATCAACGGTAGTGCAAAATAAAATGGTCGAAGCGATGGCGAAGAGCAATTCACACTATCCAATTGCAGCTCGTTGTAATGACACCTTTGAAAAATGTTTCGCCGAACGGTTGCCTGATTGACAGTTCCGGTTCCTTTTTATAATTCTTCCAATTTCGTATTCCTTCGGTGCATCAAAACGAAGAAAAAGACTTTGCCATTCACGACGTGTCAATCTCCCCGGTCCCGAGTTTCTTTCCTCGAGCAACAAAAAATTATTCTTCACGTGCTTCGAGTTATTTGGTACTCGGTAAATATAATTGAATTAATCATTACAATGCATACATAAATTTTAGCAATAACGATGATAGTTATCGGCTTATTTACAAACACATTTGAAATGATTTAAGAATAAATATAGAACGTAACGTTAAACGATTTTGGTCGTCGTACGAGTTCCGTTTAATCGTCGTCCAACGACGCCATAGTGGCGCGGGCCAGACGCCCCGGGACTCATCGTTCGCTTCCGAATTTTTTTTCCACGCAATTTTCCCCTCCGATTTCTAATGAATAAAAGATCGTGGATCGAAGCGGTTCGGTTGGACGGTCGAAAATCATCGACCGCCATCGAAAATTATTCCTTCAAGAATGCCGGTAGCCGCGGAGGCCATCACGCTAGCCAGAAGGAATACGTTTATTCCCCATCGTCGGACGGCTGGGGGATCGGGCCTCCTAGACCCGTCCTGGACAGGCAATTATTCGAAAATTACTCGAGCCTATCCACTTTCTTGGGATTTGTTTCGAAACGAAAGTTATTCTACACGCGAGCCCCATCATCGCTCACCACCGGGCAATCCCTGATAACCGATCGGACAACGATGGTATTCGCTTCTTTATTCATTTACTTATTTTGTTCGCTAAACGATCTTCCTGGGACGAGCAGTCGTTGCAAGATTGAAACCGATAGTCAGGAAAATAGAAATTCTCGAGGATTTCGAAAGTTTCGACGTTACGTTCGAGCCTATGGGGCCTCAAGAACTCTCATGAAACAGCAATTATAACCAGGCGGTAATCCATTTATTCATATTTCCCCGTGAAACGCGCGAGCCATCTAAACGAGCAGTCTTCCTCGTTGTCCAGCGCGTGATCCATTGGGTTCCGCTTTCACGCAACCGCGTTTTCCCGCTCTTTTCTTCCTCCGTTCGCGTTATCCGAGCAAACTATCTATGTCCATTTCCACGGATCAAGATTAGCCACTGTCTAAACCGCGGTTTTAGCGAAACGATTTCACCTGGTGCAATTTAACGGGAACGTAACGCGATAGCGGACGTGCTTAAATCGTGATAATGAGGCCGGCACGTATGTCGCAAGTGTATAAAGTTAACACCGCTTAATAATATACGCGGCGTCGCTGTGATCCCTCGCTATCGATAACCGTCAGCCCAGTTAATGCCACTTTGAAGGTATCGATAACGTAACAACTGCGTATTCCCACGAACACGAACAAACGCTGCAAAAAAAAAAAAGAATTTTATCACACTCGGTCGTCACGTGTCCTGTTCTGTCCGTGTCCTGTCCACCGTTGCACGGAAATTGCACGCACGTAGTTCGCGGCGGTAACGAGACACCGGCTGCTGTTTATTGCCCACCATAGTACTGAAATACAGCCTCGTAACGGGAAATCTGTCTAACGATCGAGCCTTCCAATGCCTCGAGTTCCGCTAACTACCACCGACGTCTCTTCCGCCTTCGGGAAGAATCCGTGCGACATTTATAGGCGTTCGATGAAGGCATTAGCGAACAAGAATCCCGTTTCGGTGTCCTAGAAACGTCGAGCAAATAATTATCTGGCAAGATGGTTCACCTAATATCGTCGTCCATCTTGAGATTAGATGACCAATTAATATCAAACTTTGCTACCATTGGCAAAGAAACGACGCTTCCAAGGTACCACTCATTGTCCCGGTTCTCATCGTCGAATAAGTGGTTGCGTAAAGCGTTAATTCAATTCGTTCGTTAACTCCGCGAGAAATAATCGGTTGCGAACGAATTTAGTCACGATACGACGGTCGCGGTAAAATCCCACCGATCGTCGATCGTCGAAGACGAAACAACCAGAAGCAACCTGATTGGCAACGAACCCCATGCTTCGACACGAGCAGGTTGGGACAACACCTCTAGGAAGGAGAAAATCGCGGAGAAGCGGGTGCAGTTAGTGGATGGTTGCGGCCTGGTGAATGGTGGTTCCCGACGGATCGGGACTGGTTTGAATGGAAAAAAAGGCCAGAAACATGGGGGAAAAAATCGAGAAAACGGAGGAATGCACGCAACCAAGATGGCGCCGCATTGTGTGCACTCTAGATAGACAGGGACGGAAGCACGAAACAGGAATGGAAGCCGCGGGAGAATGGGGATAATTGCGTTGGAAATGCAGCAAGGCTCCTCCCCTTATTCAAACCTAAAGGCTGCAACTGCAAGTGCCAAGCTGCTCACTTTACGGCGCCCACACATGACACGTTCGACCACTGGTGACGCGAATACCCCGATACATCGACGATCCGTGCTCCGCCTTTGCATCGACACGCGTGCATTTGCTTGAACGGCGATCAAGGGACTGCTGGAAAATCTGACCAACCCTTATACATTGATCAGTTTCATGGTATTGCCCCTTGTTCAACGTAATCGCTTTTTAAAAGTGTAATACTCCGATAGCAAGATCATTTATCTCCGTTCTAATAAGGAGCAAGTGATTATTAAAAAACATTTAATGTTTCTAACGTACCGGCTGGTTATTTGTATTCCCCAATTTAATTAACCGTTACCGCGCACTGTTTTATCTGAACCAAATCGATTAATTCTTCAGATATTATCAGTGATTTATTCTTAGTCGGATAGTTTTCTACTGACTCATGAATCTAATTAATAGTAACTGTAAGCGCAAGCTTTATCGGTTGCGCGATCTTCCTCCCTCGAGGATACTCCACTAACATTCCAGGTAGCCACACGACATCTACGAGCTAACGTGTTTATCAACCGAGTGATTTGCCAGTCATTAAAAACGTCGAGTGGCTTCTTTGCTAAAAGCACAGGCGAACATACGACGTAAGTAATCACCACTTTGCAACTCGAGAACATAGCAGCCCTCAGCCTATCTTTTAATCCGTGCCCGATTATAAATGTAAATGTTGGTATTTATTAATAGAAATAGTACTGCTTTCCTTTATCCAACGTATAACATTCAATAAACACTACTTTTTTTCTTAAATCCGTAGTCCTAAGGTTGCTACTTGCCAAACTCTAGTGGTGATTCCCTGAGTTATTGTCCCATGTACATAAAGGGATGTAGTGAATCGGTATGGCCACGTGTTCTTAATATTCATCAGTTAATAATGTAATTTGTTTTATTAAGAGTCAATCTCTTTCAAACTGATTCGCTTATTCTTTCTTTAAAATAATTTTCATACCACTGAAGATAACCAAAAAAAAATGAAATATGAAAACGTTCTGAATATATTTAGAATGAAACGATTGTTTGAATCGATTAAATAATTAAGTTTGTTCATTTCACAAGCAATGTATAACCTTAATCGACAAATAATAATATGATGCTTTGATTGATAATGCATTTATAAAGAAATGAATTGCTACAGCCATCTAGCATAGAACTCACCGAACTGCAGGAATTACCAACTGAAGCAAATGTAAGTAACCGCTTTACGGGGTTAAGGAACAACTTTTCCAATATTCTTAGAATTTCAAAATAATCTACCAAAATACGCGTTGTTTGTAAAAAATAACTCGGTATGACAGATTAGACCATGAAAGTCCACAAGAGGAAAGGTCTACTCGTATACCTCGTCTGTGATTTTAGCGTTCTCTTCACATGGATGGCGGTCAGTTGAGAAACTATTCACTGAATTAGTATTGATAGGCAAACAGCTGTAGTTTTGCGTAAATCCATGTGAATTGACTATGGAAGGGATTAAAATTCATTTCTGAATCTGTTGGTAACGTCGCGAATGACACGAAAATGGTAATGGGGTTTCGAGACCCCATAAAAATGGGCCGAAAAAATACATTGGGTGAAATATCTACTCGTATACCTCGTCTTCTCTGACAATACTCTAGAATCTTTGATGACTCAATGAGAATCAAAACTAACCTAGCAAAGAAGCTCTATATCTATACGATGTTGATTTATGATGACCTATGCAAAGCGGATCGCAGCCAATTTGCTAATATTATTTAGTTTTTAATTAATAACATTACCCAGCTAAGAGTGATACGATTATTAAGTAAACGCTAAATAATATTACCCAGGTCTCACCACGTGGAGGTTGCTGCGAGTGGAGATCCAAAGGGAGATAAATGGAATCCAAGTTCCATCGATCTCGCTTTCGCAATTTTACAATCTGAATGACTAAACTAAGAAGATAGAAGGAACCAAAGTCTCTTCGATCTTCTAGTTTCGTTCTGCCAAGTAATTATTTGGTATAAACGACAGATGAAGGTAAATTATGGGAGATGCGATGCTGAACCGTACAGTGGATCTTGGGATCGAAGCAAGAAACGAAAGAACGCGTGAACGATAAGCTAAGTTAATATTTACTTTGTATCGCTGCCTTAAAAATAAATTTAGATAAAACTAGGTTCACCAACTAATGATCTTAAAACTAACTAACCCATGACTAGAAACTATATCTAACCTAAATACACTAGGACGCATAGGGAGTTTTTCTTCGTAAGTGGCTTGGCGCCACACTCGGCTCACTTTCGTTGTAAATAGATTATCGGTCCAAACATTAAATTTTTTATTTAATAAATATGTATCATTACTGTTTGAGAATAAATTCAGAGGAGTCGTAGAAGTTTAAAAGTTCTAAATTAATCGTTATAAGTAATGTGAATGTTAAACGGAGTTTAAACCAAAGATTATAATAGTTTTCTTCGTTGTAATTGTACAAGCATAATTGTCAACGATGTTCGAATGGGCATATGACGGTGTTAATGCCTCTATACCGCGTAACTCAGGACCAGAATGTGCTTACTACTTGAGCCCAAAACGAAGGATAATCGAAACATCGCTGGTATCTATATTCATAATAAGCCTCCTCGTTTGGGGTTACAAACGAATTAGATTACCACCTCGGGTATCGTACGTAGATCATGATCGCGTTGGCAGAAGAGTATTGTTGATTATTATGTCACTAGTATTGGGAATGGAATTAGGTTTTAAACTTACCAGCAGAACAGTTGTATATATTTTTAATCCCTGTCACATAATAACAGCAGTGCAGGTACATTTGTTAGATACAAGTTCTTTAACAGACATACCCAATTATTTATCATCACCGCTTTTTCTGTGACACAGTTGTACTTGCTGGCTGCTGAACCCAGTCCAACAGTAACAGCAATCTTTAGGATACATTTAAATTTCATGAATGGACCAGTTTTAGCATATTTATTCCCAGAGATTGAGTCTAGAAATGTAAGTTACTGTTGGTCGTCGATAAGAAACTGTTTCAATGGCGTGCATTCACATTTGGATAAATTGTTCCAGATATTCGCTGACAAAGCTCTATACTACATTCAGCATGGCTTGATGATAGTAATCCCATATTATTTGCTGAGACTTGGAGGTAGTTATAATCATCTTTAAATGACATTTTGATTTCTTCTAAGTTATTGTAATTCAGGCATGTTCATAACAAAGCCCAATCCATTAGACTTTGCAGTCTGCATGACCTCTCCAATTCATTCACTTTTTTGTTATATGTATTAAAACATAACCTCTCCGCCATTAGTGTTACCCGATATGCACCACAAGTCCGGCCCCCTCCCCTCCTTGTTCTGTTCGATCATTTTTTTCATATCGTTCGTATTTTTCGAAATATTTGCTCTCGGATATTATTTCTGTCGTGTTTGTACATATAGGTGTTTATAATATCGAGCCTCTATCGGACATGAGCTGGTGCATTTTCAGTTATGGACTGAATTTAGTGTATCATTTCTGGATTCTTCAAGCTATTGCTTGGGTATGTTGCATATTATCGTGTCACGATCCGTTATATTTAATCGTAACACGATATTTTATCTCGCAGCCCATACAAGTGAATCTTAGTCACATGTTGTGCGCGGCTGTTCTGGATCCATTCGCAGGACAAAATTATCGACTGTGGACGATAGTCCATCAAGGACTACTATGCCCGATATTATGCAAGTCGCTGTGCTACGCATCCGATTTCTTTCTAACAAGGTTCCTACCGACCAAAGTAAAACCCTCGCTCGAGTGTATACTTCCGAAAAAGAAAAGTAAATACGAATGTAACGAGAAATTACGCGAAGATACAAACGTCTCAGGGAACGGACACACGCGCGTGAACTAAGTCCAATATACCTCGTAATACAATGCTAACCTCTATGAACACTTTGCTGCAATTAAGTAAGTACTTAACAGTTAAGGGGGGGAAAACAAACGTGTTTATATGTTAATAACTGTACGAACGCAAGACATCTTGTGTTTGTATTTGCGTCTGTAATTGAACAGATGCCACCTCTCGGGCAAGGCTGTTGAACTAACTCCCCGCCATCGCAATACTGCTCCTACTACCGGTCTAACAGGCCACGAGTTTGGCAGCCCTGCTGTAAGAAATGCAGGTTTCTTTCAGGTGAATAATATTCGTAATTTATTTTTTACACTGTACCCTCGGGTATGGTGGACAAGAACCGTGTAGGGCAAATCGTAGTAGTAAGTAGGGATTTATAAATTGCAAACGAATGGTAATAATTACGAGAAAACGTCGAGACTTGCTCCTGCTAATGAAAAATGCCCAGCAAGTCTCAAACCGTTGCTTTGTTAGACGTTTTACACTGCGAGACACTGGCAATCTTGTGAAACAAATTCCTAACGCGTTTATTACTAGATATACACGGGACAGTCTCCTACTTAAAAGCAACACCTTTTGTCACTGTTTCTATCAAAGGTGTCAAAAAACCGCGGTAGAAATAGTGTTAACGGTACAGCACCAGAACAAATGAAATTATTTTTTTTATTGTCTTTTTAATCGTTACTTCCTCAGTTCTTATTGAAATTAGGACTGGGACTATCCGAATATCCGTATGGATTTACATAATTAGAGTCCTTAACAGTTCTAATTGAAACACTACATCTTCATTCCAATTCAGGTGTGTTTACTTAGCTAGTTTAGGTGGGCGGGAATACTTATTTCGTTTAAGTATAATTAAAACTTGTGCTAATTTCCATTGCACGTGTGTAGGAATTTTCTACAAACGTGATCTTGTTCCTACAGATAATATTTTTTGTTTGTTAAGTAATACTCATTATGTATAAGTACGTCATGTGTACATCTATGTAAATGCTTCTCACGCTTGTATGTGCATATACAATTATCGTGAAGCTTAGTTTGTCCGAATACAATAACAATATATATTTTCGACAAATTTTTTAATTATTAGCAAGTAGCGTTGAATGTGATACGTAAAGATCAACTGTATTTGAATGTGATATAGATTAAACTACGAATAAGTTGATAAGGAGAAGGTCGAAGACACGAAATCACATCACTTTATTCGTTTTTGAAATTATGTAAGATTGTGTCAACAGTGTGCACATAACGAGATACTTATTATCGCGGTTACGTAATACATTCTGCATAGTTGATGGTTGAGAAACGATTAAAATAATTCATGAAATTACGCCGATCGGTTTCACACTGACTGCCAGAAATTTAATTCGATGAAATATATATTTTTTTACATCGAGAAAATAATGAAAGTAAGACAAATTAATATGCTACTCGACAGACTAAAAAAACGGGTTTCAAACGCGTGTTTCCTATTCTAAAAATTATACAAATATACTGTTTCTATAGAATAATGCAAAACGTAAAGAAAAATCAAGAAATTCTTGCTTCACAATTTCTGGTTTAATCTCAACTTACTCACATTTTATGTAACGTGAATTTTACTTGTATTTAAAAGAAGATTTATATTTTTATAACTATTATTGCATTCGGGGATGTTCCAGAAATACTTTATTCAGATTTTCGAGCTGTAATTGTGCGCACTTTTTACACAACAGTTGTTTCCTATCGATAAACTAACATTCAAGACCTTATTGCAGTACAATCGATGAGAGTAATCAATGCGAGTGCAAAAAGACGTAAAGAAGAGATCAACATTGTTCGCGTCGAGTACGCAATTGTAAAGGCCTCAAAAAAAGTTTAACTTAGAACCTCAATAGAGCACGATAGCAAATTCTTTTTTTTTTACCACTGATTGTTTTCCATTGCACATAGAATAACAGCTATGCAAACAAAACTGTGTAACAGGATATTCTCGATCCATGTACTCGGATGATATTAAAAGTATACTCAAATTTGAACGAATTGTATAGCGGACGTTGTGCTATAATGTATTATAAGTGTTTCAGACCACTGTCTTATGGCAGACTTAGCAAATTAACACACATTATACGTACTGTGTACAAAAAGGATTGTGTGCGTTTGTGTATACTTGACTTTTTAGGGTTGTAGTAGTGTTATCTTGCCAGAAATATCCAAAGAGATTCGTTTTGCAATAATGAAACCAAACTCCAGACTTATTTAATTTTATGAAAATTCAAAATCAAATTTATATGTTCTTGTCTCTTTATTGGTCGTTTACTGTCACATATAGAAAGTTACTTTCGTAGTGTCCAGTTTATATGTTCGATTTCGAATCTACGATCTGATAATGAAATATTCGTCAGATCGTCGTGATTTCGAATCGTTCCTGATTTAGAATTTGCGTGGTAGTGGAGGGATTGTTTGACGAGGCGTATAACAGATCGCGATTGTTATATTTTTCTAAGCTGCAAGGAGTACTGTTTCCATAGTGGTAGAACAAAGGTGCAACTTTGGAAGCATAAGATGCGAATTGTATGTCGAACGCAGGTGCAAGACGGGAAAATATTTGTAACTTAATATTCACGTGTAAATAAACAGTCGATGAAAACCCGTTGTTATCTTGCCCCTTATCCAGATACAAACCAATGGAACAAACGCCCAGTGGTATGCAACAATACAAACATTAAAGCATTAAAATAAAATAATTTATTTACAGAGCGATGTACACTTCTTTCTTTAAAACAGTCGTAGTTCTGATATACGTGCGAGTATACCGGTGTTCCATGCTTAATCGTATCCCGACTAACTCGACGTTCCCCTAAACGTTTTGTACAGAATGGTTTCGCAGGTGGTACCATGATCACCTATATGCGCGTTCAAACAACGTGTATTTACAAAATTATGCGTTAACCACCGATGGTTCGAATTGTTTTGCATGTACGTTCTACGTTTCCATGCACGACGGGTCGACGTTGATTACATTGTAATACTTAATTGCTATATCATCGTGATTCTTAAGAAAGAATCTTAATGAAGCACCACTGTACTCCACGTGCAATCATTGCTAGTTCGTACACGAAATAAGTCCACGGGCACGACACGTTTGTTTATGCGCGTATCCGCGCCTAAGTTTTCCACAGAGCACTGGCTCGTTTTCGTGGTCAATCGAAAAAGGTATAAATTCTAAATCAGTCCGCGACCCGTAATATTTTCTATCCACGTAGATGATTCGTCCATTCGACACGCATGAAACAAGGCTTTATTCATTTTACTCTTCGTAACGTTCTTGATCGCTATGTACACGATTCTGTACAAAAGTTTGTGGAAGTACGCCAACGTGCGAAGGCTACACTTAACGAACACAACGACGATGACGAATATGTACATTATAAACGATTGCATTTATCCGTATCTACTGTCCGTTCATCGGACTCGAGCCATCAGATATAAACAAGAAACAAAGGACGGCAATAAAGATCGAACAGAGACAACCGATGCCTGTCAGCCAATAGCAGCATTTCTTCTGTTTACATCTGATGAACGGACAATGGATCTTTCATGATTCACCTTACCGATAACATCGTTATCCATAGGTACAGACTTCGCGGGATATGATGTACAATTTTAAAGATCTCCTTACGATACGAAACGCATTCAATGAATTAAAAAGTTGTTCGCGTTAAATATGATCCGTTGTGCAAGTACCACAATAGTGGCCGCCCATACTTTGCACCACGATATTAAATACTTAATTCTTCTTGTAAACGGAATCCAACCCCTTACACTCGGAGACTCTGTTCGCCTACCAACACTTATTCGCCTAAATCGAGTAATACGTCGAGTAAAAATATCGTGTAACATGTGTTCCTATCTATAAAACCCTAGGTGATCCTCGTATCAATTTTTGTTGTAAACTTTATTTGTTAGATGGCTGTAAAGGGTTGAAAAATCGTGCAATAGTAATTTGTTTTTAAATTTGGGACAGCCGAGTGTAAAGGGTTGACGGAGAAAGCTATATTACACGATAATGCAACTAAAACGAGAACAAACTCTTGACATCGTGTAGATGACGTTTCACAGGTACTAGTTTCATTCTACCATCGTCTACTTGCTCTTTCGATACGCTTCGAAAAATAATGCGAGCAAAATCAATTCTATTTGAAAAGAAACACGAACAGTCGTAATAATCATTATACGAATTGATTCGAGTTTTCGTCGCAATTTACAATTGGAGAAGTTCCTTTATACAATTGGAAAAAAAAACGAAACACAGCTATGAACACTTTAAGTGGAACACCCTGTATACTGTTTCATGAAATGTTACTCTTCATCCGTTCAACGATTTCGCTACTTAGAAATAGGATTTAATCTAGGACGTGTATAAATACCTATAATAAATTAAAGAAAAAAAAAAAGAAGCGTAATTGGGTTTTGTAAAAATGGGGTTCAGTCCTCTTTTCTCAGAGATTCCTTCTTCAACAGATCTGACAATGATAAAAATAAGCAAACACCTACACAGATATTGTACATAAAATGAGCACACTAGTAAAATACGACGAATCACAGATACTCCCTTTATAATTACCACGAAATTATGCGAACTAAATGGGAATAATAAAAATGAGTTTAATATTAATGGCAGACTCGTTGATGTTCGTCAAAATAATCTATGCGCCACGTGTGACTATCTTGTAAACAAGTTGGAATTGCCACATCTTTGGTAGATGATTTATACACACAAAGCATGTATTTATACAAGGACTCGACTATCAATACTGTATGGAAGAGTAAAGAATCGGACAATCCTTATTTCTATGTACATGCACGTTAACTTAAAGTAAAGCTACATGACTCGGAGAAGCGTCGAAATGAAAGTAATCTGACACGCGTTCGTACGGACGCGGAGGAACTTTATCGTAAAAATTATCTAACCGAAAACTTTTTACACAATTATCCTGAAACCAGTAATACGCCACTCAACTCTTTTTGTACAAAGGTACTTTCGATCGTGAAATACAAATGGAAAAATTGGTAATTATGCACTTTACCGGCGCCATTTTCGATTTCAACGGCCTTGCAGCGCGTCCGAAGGAAAATAACAGTTAAATGGCGATAGATATTGTTTGTTTCGTCGCATTCAACTACCATTCTCCTCTAAAATGCATCGAGGCTGCTGAAATCGATCGCGGCGTCGGTGGAGCTCGTAATAACCGAAAAAATTTCGTATCAAACATACAGATCTTTCTCGATGCTAGCTAGTAGAAGATGCACAATTTTAAGTGAAATTTATTCGTGCTCTGCTGTTGAGTAACTTACAACTGTTCACACTGTATAAAGCCCTATTACGGATTTATCAGTTTAAATGGAATGCTAATACTATTTACAATGTATTGACTGAATGAACAGGCACACATCCTTTGTAAAGAGTATCATACAGTTCATTAGTGCGCGCTAGTTCTACTTCATAGTAGACATTCTGGTACAATGCAGAGAATCTGCATTGAGATTTCATTGTACATTCCTGAACAAACCTTCAAAAACACATCTCTACTGGAAGTAAAGTGTTAGCCATCTAGAGGAGGTCCTAAGTACACCATAGATACCTCTGTGTTTCCATATACAGCGGATACGGATGGATATAATCTTTTGTCTGGCAACCCTATGTGTTCAATTTTGTCATTAACATCGTCGAAATATTAGCTTTACGTTTACAAAGAAAAAAATAAAGCTGTAGTTTTAAAGTCTGTTACTTTGTAGGTTTTGTACGTTTAAACAAATATTTTAAATTATCATAACATATTCTGATGCTAAAATTTCAATTAAAAATTCGTAGCTACCATTTAACTTAAAGCTTTACTATAGCTGAATTATTTAAAACTAAAATGTACCAAATATTGAAATACAATACCTCTAAATGCCACTCCCAAAAATTCGTAATTTTTTTCAAAAGATAATGTGTTATCATCACAATCTAATATTACCCTAATTCTTTCCCCAACCTGTTAATTATAAAATTTTTACACCTTAAGGTACATTTTCCACAATATTCTGCGCATTCCTTTTGAGAATATAACATACCTGGTACTTGGGGGCATTATTAAGTAATGGATAACTCCCTTGCACATCTCCATTGTGTAATAGGTGATTGTCCACTAGATTCCATCCCCACGAATGCTCATTAGAACCCAGCAACGCTACATACCCATGGCATAACAATGGCGCTTCCTTGGTTGCTATTCCTATAACTGCTACTGTACCCAGAGGTCCTTCCCAAATGACTTCCCAGGCATGACGACCATGTCGGAAACCAATTTTACCTCTACAGGCATCTGTACTTTGTGCAACAGGATTTCTGTCACCAAATATGTAAGTATTAAATCATCAGTTACCAATATAGAGAAATTATTTCGTTCATCTCTCGCTATTTGATTATGATACCGTCGTAACTAAGTAATAATCACACGCAGTATCAGGTTTATTTACATCGTTTGACAAGAGTACACAAGAATCGACGCTCGTTAAAAATTGAATTTAGAAACCTACCTGTGCAGGGTGAATCCGTTGGGTTTAATGTAAATGTTTCGGGAACGATCACGAGGGTTCCATGCGTGATAAAACGCACGCAGTTTAGATTTGTAGGTGGGCACCGATGACAATAAATCGGAACTAAGGGCCTCCTGGGCCAACTTTCGTATGCAGTGCATCCTCCACGCCCCATTATTCTCGTAGTTCAAGAATTTGTTCCATCGTTTGCACACCATCGAGCAGTTCCTCAACGTGTTTAGATCTAAATAAGAAAAAATCACTTCTAAAACTAGATCAGATGCTCGGAGTGCTATATCGCCCATTTTGCCGGTTCTGACCAAGTAAACGAGCAAAACATACACACACACACGAACACACACAAACACTGCACGATGTCAATGGGCGACATCAATTCGTTCCATTTGAGGGGAGTACGGCATTGTAAACGCTTCCCCTTTTGGCCGTACCAACATCTTTTAGTTACCGCGCGAAACTGCTAGATAATGTTACTATTTAAGTTAATATCGTCTATTATTCCTCGTATTTATTCAAGTGATAGTGTAAACAATAAAAATATTCGACAATTCAATTAATTGTATAATTGTTTGACAAAATGTAAAGATAGGAAGTGAAGAGGAATACAAAATGGCCAACTGCTTAGTGAGTTTTATAGTGTAATACTTGTAACTCGGAGTAGGGACTTTTTGTGCTTTGTCCAGGATTAAAATGGCAAGGCAGTAAGACCCAAGTAAGTCTAGATTCGATTAGTTAAATGTTAATTTCGTCATTATTAAGTTTGAATGTTGTTAATTTAAACATGTTATATGCAAAACTTTATTCTTATACTATTATTAATCAAAATTCATCCAGAAACTTAAAGCATATCTCGTAGGGAGACGGTTGCATGATGTTATACTAGGTGTCCAATTTTGTATTTCATTGTTCCATGGTCGTAGAGGTTTGTTTCATTTCAATCACACGTGGGCTTCAATTTTTGATCGCGTTATTCTGTCAGGAACGTTACGCTGCGTTTGTTCCGAATTCTGAATGGAGCGGAACAATGATACTTCATTTATAAGTACACCGGGCTTTTGCTCCGATTGTGGGTCAATTTTGCCGCTCTTGGGTAACTCAGGAGACGTTAAATGTTACGCTTGCAAACGAACTTGGGGTCCCGAAGGTATCCGTAATATTTTTACCATTGCAACGCATGTTAACCATTCTTTTATGCTGGGTTTCGATGCTACGTATGATTTTATCTTTAGCTTTCGGGGACATGGCTATGTCATACACCATTAATTTTAACGACAAAAATGTTTACGGGTCTTCGAAACAACAGGACGATAACAAAGACGACGCAGAAGGTCCGATAGTGGAACGAAAATGTCCACAGTGTCAAAATGATAAAATGTCATACGCTACCTTGCAGTTGAGATCTGCTGATGAAGGACAGACTGTGTTTTATACATGCACAAAGTGCAAGTATGTTCTGCCTAGTGAGAATAAAATACATGCACAGATTATGGCAATAGCAGTAGATTATATATAAACATTTAATATTTTTTCAGATACAAAGAGACAGAGAACTCTTAACATAAATTTACATCATACATTCGAATATATAAGGGTACTAACAATGTTGTTCAATTGATCGTTCCAGGACAATTATTGAAACATGAACACTCTCTGTTAATAAAACATAGAGCTTTATTCATGATACACTCAACAAATATCAATGAAGGGACAATTAATAATTTCATAATACCGCTGGATTATCATTATATTTTTGTTCTAGTTACTTGTTGGGTACTTTTAATTATGTATTCTTAATTGTATATACTCGATTAAATATTTTGTACAATATGTTGGAATGAAAGTTAACAATTAGATTAAGAAATGTCTGTTGATTCATTATTGAAACCATTACAGTGGTCCTTTCATTATAAAATCGTCGTATTTAAAGAGTTTGTTAGTACATCGTTTATGCTACAGATAGACTTAAATGTTACTAGTAGTCGCGGTATCATATATTAGTAAAGAGAAATAGATGCGCTATATTACGTCCAGGAATTTTTAACGAACAGTCCATTAACTTAATTATATACACAACGAGAAAAGTCTTAAACTATGATAGTTGAAGGCTCCGTTATCCTAATGTTAATAAATCAACAAGAAAGAATTTGTTTTTATATTTAAACAATGCTCTTCAACGATTATATTAGTTTACACAATCTATCGTTATGCAATTATACTCATAACCTAAAAACAACATGGCTGGCGCTTGCAGCTTGTATTGCGTGAACGATAATAAAATAATAAAAGCTCTGTTAACGATTGCATTAACTATTAATAAGAACGTACGAATTGTGCACCGTCACCCTCAGTGTCTAAACTAAATAAAAAACATTAAATATCATCAACGATATCCTCTCACATATTTCTTTGGCTTTCTTTCAGAAAGGTTATCCGAGCTGTGTAATTTCTTATAAACATCCCTCAGAGTTACTATTAACCATTTGCTTCGCATCCAAATCTCACTTGCCTCGCATAATTGTAAAACAACGCTTGAAACGTAAGAGGAACATGTTTTATGATTCGTTATATAAAAAACCGATCTCCATTATCGTCACCACGTGTGGCACAACATTCAATAATGTTTCTCCTTTAACAACAAAGTATTCGACAACATTCATTTATTTGGAAGTTGTAAACTATCCATTGAATTCGTTCAACTTTGCGCGCCTTTAATTTCTGTGAAAGTTACTCGTACGGGGGTTTCCATAAGACGCAGTGTTTCTCCGTCATTGTTACTTTATTATATATAGAGATTTATGTTGGATCCGTTAGGCCTTCGATGAACAGGCGAACTGATCATCTCGAAAAAATATATTAAAAAAATTCTACAGACCAGTCCGGTACTTCTCAACAACTTCTAAGTATATTCGACTCAAACAATTCGCGAATGCTAAGCCTCTCTTCTTCTATCTTCTCCTCATGAGTCAAGAGGCAGATATAGTGTTTTTCTAAGTTAATATTGTGGTAGGGATGGTTGGTCAATGATCTTGAGATAACAGAGTGCGTAAAAAAATTACCAGTAAAATTTTAGGTACCAACGTCTGCTAGGAACATGTGAAACGAATGAACACAATTTAAACGTTGGCAGTCTTATGCGACGTTTGGTTTTTGACACTTTTTTTTTGTACACTTGCCGTTTTAAAGACCGGCTAAAATATTATAGCAATACAATTAGACCTACCAGTCATATCAGCAGAAAATAATTCCGGTCAACTTTCGACCCTCGGATCCTGGGGAACTTTTTCTCCGAATAAGGTACTTCCCCTACTTGTCAGGAAGCACAAAGAGGTGAGTGGGTGGTGATCAGCGCTCGAGATTGTTCGAGTCGAGCGTACCTATTTAATTTCTCTCTCGATTATATACACTAACGCTTCATATTACATATTGTACATCGAGTATGTACAAATGACAAGGTATTTACAGGTGGAATGTGAGGCAGGTGACGGGAAGGTTCTAGATTGTCGGTTCAAATCGACGCTGCGATCATGAGGCTTCGTAGCACTCGTCCAAAAAGTTCTCCAATGAGTGATAGAGATGAGAACTCGATTGAGCAATTCCGTGATCCTCGTCCGTATACGTCTGCGCAGAAAATGACAATCTTCAACTACTAGTAACAATAAAGGTGTACACGCATGGGGGCCCCGAAGCAAAATATAACTAGGGAAGCAAAATAAACAGTATTTTTAAATACAGAGTACACTGTCGTTGATCATGTTTAGGCTAATTATTCCTTCTTACGAACAGAAAATTCATAAAGGCAATTATTGGTCAGAGTACAGAGCTGCCCCCTTAGGTCAAACGTGTAACAGGGAGCTACATTATCAATAGGTCACCTGGCGGCAAAATTTGAAATAGGAAACACATTGAAACTCAACTCGCTAATTCATCAACTCATTGCTAATAAATTAATTCATCGATAAATAAGCACACCAATTTAGCAAACTATTACTTTATCAAATCACCCATTCATCAAACTACAAGTTTACCAATTCATCAGTCCGTTCATTCGTTAATTTATCGATCGATCGATTCACCAACTCGTTAATCCGCCAATGTCTCGAATCGTTGAGATTTATTTAACGACGACGCGTCCTTTATGTTCGCTAAAAAATTAGAGACATAGTTAGCGCGTGCAACGAAACAATGAAGTCTCGGAGAAAGAGGTAGACGCTTTGTCGAAAAGAAAACAGAAAACTCGCGGCGAACGATTGCAGCGGAAATATGCCCGGTCTCGCCCGAGGCTGCGATTATTATTTAAATGAAAAGCCTCCGCGCGAAAGTTGAATGCGCGGCGGAATTTGTTTACGAGTACGCAGTTTCCTGCCGGCTCTGTAGATTTTAATCGTCAATGTAAAACATTTCGAAACGCCAAGGAAGCACGTAAGCGAACGCAAACGGGAATAATTTCGCGGCTTTTCCAGCACGACCCTTTAAATCGTTTACTCTTTCAAATTATTTTCTGTCAAGCAAACAATTCTTTCACTATTTTTATATTCGGGACATCTTTAGAGGATGCTTCTTTTGCAACGTATTAGCTTGGTCAAGTTTCTATATTATTTATTGTTTCAATAGAAATTTAGCTAACTCTGCACGTTCTAAAGGCCCCGCTGCGTGAAATAAATAAATGCTTGCAGGGTTAATAAAGTACCTGTTGTCGGAACAATATATCCTTCTGCTCGAGAACCTTGGCAAGTAACAGAGATTGTTGATAGTGCACGTTATCGTCCAGAGTTCCATGGATCAAGTAGTACATCTTCGTTTTAATATTGTCTACTTTGTTGAGGAGCTGGCTTTCCTCGTAGCCGTGAACATTGACCTTCGGCAAACCCATGAACCTCTCCGTGTAAATTGAATCTGCAAATTACGGCAATTGTAAGGTTATTCTACGCGGACAACTTTTTTCACTAGACCTCCATTTTTCGTTTTTACTGTTCTTTTCAAGTTCGTAACACTTCCAAATGTTTATTCTCTGGTCGCCATTTTCCTCGTTTCTTTTCAACTGTCGCGCTGTTTCATTATTCTTAGTGTCCTAAATTTCTTTATTTCCGAATTTTATCCCCTCAAATCACCCTAGTTCTAGTTTCCACACTATCCTTTCTCAATTACACGGTCCCAACTTCTTGTTTTTTAATTTTTCAGTAGCTCAAGCATACATTTCTCAATTCCACTCGCCTCTATTTTTATGTGCCACTAAATAACAGGACTACTGTCTCATCAGAAATGTTACCACCACACTAACTCCATCCCCTATCGAAAAGTTTTCTTCTCAACGTTGTTATTCCCCTCGTTAATTCATTTTACTGCTAGCTGCAATTAGTTCGATCGTTATATCCTGTTACCTTACTCTTCAATTCCCTCAATTCGAAATTTGTCAGTACATCTAGTTAATTAATTTCTCAGTTTCTCCCACTACGATCGTATTCACTTTATTTTCTAATATCTCGAGTTAACTAATTCCCCGAATCTGCACACCTCCATTCTAACACACCACTCGACAGCGGTACTAGACTTGGTCTCACCAGAAATGCGTACCTCGCTATAACTCCGCCCTCAACCGTATTCAAACGGTTACCGGCCACCATCGTTATTTCTCCCGTTAATTCGTCTTACCGGGAATTGCAATTAATCCGATCGTTAAACGCTCGCAAACACGACAATCCCGACCGTTTAACGATGTCTTCGAAAGATTTAATTAAACACCCCCGGCCAGACGGTCATCCGTTTCAGTCGTTCCCAGGCGATCGCCTCGCCAACGAAGGAAACGCAACGAATGAAAAACGCCACGCTTCGCGCGTAATTGTGCACCGTGAATTACACCCAGCGTGCTACTTAATTAATCCGCGGAGGCCTGCGAGGAAATTGCTTCGCGCCTATAATACGTCCGCGTTCGCAGCGAGTGCTGGGGATATTAAGCTTTCCCACCGTTCGGGCGCAACAATGGGAACCTGCGGCGGAGAAAAAGGCTGCGGCGGAAAGGCGATGAAATTTTACCGCGCTCCATGGGTGGGGGGGGGGGCATCCCCGTAACCGGAAGCGCCGCGTCCGGGCCGAACGACGTGAAAAATGACCGAATCATTTCACATCACGTTGCGTACAAACATTTTTAACGAAATGCTTGTGCTCGATGATTTACAACCGACAGATTTAACGCATTTTTCGCGTTACGGACGAAACTAAGCAGGGAAACAATAGCGCGTGGTGTTTGGCCAGCATGGTTGAATCGTCGATTCTATCGTGGTTAAGCACTCGAATAGTCAAGTATCTGACAATTTTGCCCCGAGTCCACTCTGTTGCAATGTTGCGTTGCAAGGTAATTAATTATTAATTTCACTCGGTATAACCGAACTATGTGGCGATTTGAGGGCAGGTTATGAAGCCACCTCGTTGAGCCCCTCGGTTGCATCGTGGTCGAACCAGTGTATATATATTTTATTGTATTTGTATTCTGTTAACGGTGTGGCGAACTCGTTGCAATAAATAGAGTAAGTTCACGAGCGAGTAAAGGAACTAAATTTTGTTGCATCGATATCCACGTAGAAGAAAGTTATAAATAATCTAACGGCGACTTGGGTCGACCCTGTTACAATGTTGCAAGGGGTGAAGTGGAAAAAAAATATCATCCACGATCAATATCTGGGGGATGGAGATGGGACTTGGAGGGTTCTCGACAGAGAAAAGGAAAAAGCTGCGGCGTTAAAAATGTGCATCGACGACGACGACGACGATGGAACGTCTGCATGCTCGACTCGATTCCGAGCGATGACTCCTTATCGGGCAAATAAATCTGATATCTCGATGCGCGAGCACAGTCGATTGCGACCAGCTTCCGGCGATGATTGAATCGGACGAAGTCGAATCGAACCGGCGACGCCTCGTACTCCTTATCGTTTTTCTTCTTCGTTCGATTTGCTTCCGATATTTAAACCGTCTGCGTTGTAAGTCAATGGCTCTCAAACTTTTCAAAACTCCCGCCTCCCCCTTAAGAACTAGGGAATTTACGAAGCGTTCTGTGGCGACTTTAACGAAGTTACTGAATGACAATAAACCATAAACCGTGGGAAACCCATAGACACATCGGCCAATTGTGCAATAATGTAGATGATAATGTGCTGTTATAATGACAAATCTAGATGCTATCGACGCTGATTACGTGACAATGGAGGGTGCATAAACTTGGTATCCCTGATAAGGACCCGAACACAGTGATCGAACGTTCATTTGACTTAAACTATAATCTTTGAGTGGTTTGAGGAGTTTAATAAATTAAAAATATAATTGAATAAACGGGTATCGGCGCCAGCAGTTTTCATGAATAAAAAGACATTTAACTGATATGGTTTCAGCATGAATGAAAATATTGTCCCTTGTATACGTACCGTAAAGAGTCCAATCTGTTACAGGTGCCACGGACATGCCGCACTTGAAGACACCGTGACGATCCTTAGCGAGCGTCATGCCTGTCGCGTAGCCGCCATAACTCCAGCCCCATATCGCTGTCTTGGTACGGTCGATGAACGGGAGTGTCTCTTGTAAATACCTGCAACCAGAGGGAGAATCGTTGACGCGGGAAATTGGTCGTTAATAAAACGGAGCCTCGAGACACGTCGTGATTTCACAGGAGCCATCCTCTGCTCTCGTACCGATCTTTTGCTTTAGTTGCCTAATGGCAGGTTGCGTCGGGGGATCAACAGGCTGATGGATTCGAGAGAGGAACTAGTCGACGAAAAAGTGTAGAGATTCCGAAGGAAATGGGAATTCGATGAACGATAACAGTCGGCGAGAGTCTAAATACTGGGTACTTAATCGTTAACAGCTATAATCGTTCTTTAACGAGGAATAATAGTACTGAATATGTCCTCGAGGATCTGAAATTAAAGGCTGAAGTGGCACGAGGATCGAGGCTTATTTAACAGATCCTGCTTGAGATATGAGGACTTTCGAGGATAGAAGAATTACCCTAGATATCGATAAGCCATCGATAATCGATTATAGATCGTAACCCCCTGGTGGCGAAATTTTCAAACGCAAGTGGTGCGTAATATGGCATCGCTAGTAGTAGGACAGTTTTAGATTAGATCTAACAAATAGTATGTTAAACACTTGTCAACCACTGCAGATTGCATTGTCTCTTGCAGAACAAAGTCTTTTGTCTTAAACAAAGGGGCTTAAAAAGTTTTTAGTCACTTTGTGTCTCGTTCTTTATCGAAGCGTAAAGATCGACTGCCTGTTTTATGAGTTTCCCGGGCAGAAGGAGCATCAGATTCGCTGTCACTATATCTCAATGTTCCACGTTGTTCTTTGTGAAATCCATCTTCATCGCACGAAAGCAAAAAGCTCAGGCTCGAATGCATTATGCATCCGGGCGGACGAGCACTTAGGACAGCGAATGACATTTATTTTAGTGGGCGATCCTTTAAGAACAATTTTTATGAGCTCCTCCGCGGTAGGATCACACTGCACTGCCAGCTTTCAAATTTAAGATCTCTCTGTTACCTTCTGGTAAACCGAACTCCGCGTTCACGGCACGTGGCTTGATGGCAATTTAGACATTTTTTTTCCATTCCCACCACCCAAACCTCCATTTCCCGCTGTCGTGCTTTCTCGATGCCAGGAACATATAAATGTGGCTTTCCGTGGAAACAAGCTTCTAACCGTGACGTCGCGTGAATACGTCTTCTGTGTATGTCTCTCAGACGTTTTGAGATTATTCCAAGAATAATGGGCAATCAATATGTACAGTTTCTTGGAATAAATCGGATAGGATTCTAATCTAGGGATTATATGGTAAATGTTAAAGCCATAGTTGTGATTCTAAGTTCTGGGCAAGCTTGGGGTGGGCATACGTTTGGACTAAGTCGATTGTAGGTTAAACTAGGATTAGTCTCTTCCTTGCATAGGTTAAACAGAGTTTATATTAGGGTGAATCTGAGTTTTAGCATAAATCGATTGATTGCAATTCCTATCCCTTTGTAGGGAGACTATAAGATGGCAGCAACAATTATTTTTCCCCTGGGTCTTGTAGGGTCCTGCAAGCCTTTGGTGATTCCCAGAGTCCCCTAGATGGCGCAGAGGTAGACCCACGTGGTTTTTAGTTGGTAACAGTTCGACACTAGGGGTAACACCCATCCTTTATAGAGAAAGTAGCCTTTCAATGATCAGATCTCATGGAGACTAATTGTACTACTGTAGTCTGGGCCTTCCATCAGTTAGAATTAGGTCACGTCTGTATTTCATCATGAATTATTTCACTGTAACGTCTACTCCTATTTGGGAAGCCTGGTACTTGGCTAGTCGAATTTTGGTAGTGATCCAACTAGGCTTAATTTGTATCTGGCATAAGTACCAGGCCAGACAGACGTTAAACAATGGCAGGTCTGAATTTTAGTGTAGGCATCTAAGACTAGTGTCTGGCTGGCCGGATTCTGGTGGAGATTCAACTAGGAACAGTCTGGGCCTTACTTATGTTAGAACTGGATGGATATTAGGAGATCTGGACTAGGATAGGTCTGGGGTTCTAGCCTCTGTCTAACTAGTCTGGCTCAGTCTGGGTCTAGCATGAGATACACCTAGGCCAGGTAGATGTTAAATTATATTATAGGTCTGGGTTTGACTACAGTTATCCAAATTTAATGCCGTAGCCTCAGCTTTCATCCTTGTTAGGTCTGAGTTAGGTTAACAAATTCTGCTTCGGGTTACGTCTATATTTCTATGTGTCTCGTTTGGATAGGACATAGGTTACACCGTCATGGAACCCGGTTTTCTACAAACATCCAAATATCGATTGGAAGGCCAGGACCCCGTGCCAAGTCTTCCGAGAATGCGAAGTGCTGCATCGAGGTATTGTCGCGTGTTTTCATCGCAGTTATTCGAAAATAACAACGTTCTCGTGTTGATCAAAGCAACTATCGCGATAAAATTGAGGAAAACAATGGAACGGGAAAGACGGATACGCAACGATGCTTGTCGAATTCAAAGAGCGGTCAATATAACGGTCAATTCCGCATCGAACGATCGACAATGGCCCGTCGCATCAGCAGGAAACTTTTCCAAACACTCTTCTACGGTGCATTCGATTTCCACCACTCGAGACAATACGTGATTTCCGATCGGAAAGGGTAAAAGAGCTCACACTCCTTTCTTCCAATCTTTTCCAGCTATTGTCTCCCGTATCTCGCGTGTTCAATAATAATGGTTCCACGGGGAACCGTGGCGGCGACCACGCGGTTGCCCATAGAAATAGTAGCGGCCCTCTCAACCGTGTTCCTTTTTTACCCAAAATTTATTTAGCTCGTAAATCGACCAGCCCGCCCGTTGAATTCTATTCCTCCAACAACGACCCTGTTTCCGCACGAGCAACGATCTTCAGATAGAATTTCATTTTTCGATGGCCGAGATGCGGCTGTTCGCGTTGCATTGTCTTCGATTGGATCCTTTAACGGATTACGGCTGGCAACTTGCGGCTTTTTAAATAAATTAGGTTCGCTTTTCAACCAAACCAAATTATTTATATTACATTTCCATTATGTTATGTTACATTACGCGCTGTGGGAAATGAGAGCAAACAATGGTTTGAATTTGGTGCGCTTCCCTAATCATGTACGATGTAGTTCCCTATTAAAAGTTGGTAGTACTATTGTTCGGAAATCCAATATATGAATCGATGTTGTTCGTTCGTTTCCCTAGATAATACATCCATTATTATCGAGCTCATCTTAAACCTTGTATTATTAAAATATTAATACCTACAATTACCTAAATGTTTAAGTTGATATACAGATATATTTTCCAAAGGAAATCGAAGGTCCTCTAAACAAAATTATATCTCCGGGCACATAAATTTAATCGCGTGCCGTTGAAATTAAACACCACGCCGTGAATGTTAACTGTAATTGTCTGTTTTTTATTTTTTTATTTTTAATTATGGCTCGCCACGGCTCAGAGTGCTCCCGCGATATGCGACACCACGCGGCGAACACGATAAATTGAAATCCGAGGCTCTCGAAAATAATCGAGTCGTTATTTTGTTTCAACGAACGCGTCCACTCTATCTCCCGCAGCATGGTGAGCTTTTTTTACGATTTCATTACGCAAATTAACGGAAAACGTATCGTTTCATATCAGATTAATTATGTAATTGCATGGTGCAGCTTCAAACCAAACCTCTATGTAATTTGTTCACATTGAATTCGACATTTCTTCTCCATCCTTAGAATTTTTTTTATCTTTCGTCCTCTTAGAGATAACTAATTGTTTTATTAGGGACACCACAACGTTTGCTGGGTCGGTTGTTTTCGCCACCACTTGCTGGTTCTCTGTTTAATTAACTTCGACCTCACGTTGTTGGTGTCCAGGGTGGGTTTAGATCAAAGGAATGGCAAGCACGATAATATAGATAACAGGAAAATTGCATCACGGTAACGCGTTTCAATTTAACAATAATAAATTTAATGTGTATTTAATAAATGTACCAATACGATACATTCGATCGATATGGACGTGTCATATATTTATTTTTGGAAAGAAAAATATGTTATTATTTTCATATTATTACTGCCGTTAACAGTACAATGTTCGTTTCACACATCGTCCGTTCATATTTATAATACAACTGCGTTGGGTAAAAACGTTTTCTGTAATTGAATTCATTTTTCTCTAAAGATACTAGTCTTGAACAGGACTCGAACACGATAGATGGAACCATTGAAATTTAGAAATTTTTAAATTCTTTTCTCGTTGCTAGCCGTAATTCTTTAACCTATTTCCGTTGCCGCCTATCGTTCATTTCTCGCTCTTCATCCTCCTTCATCGATTATCGTTTTGGTTCCGCTGTTCTCAATCTCCATTACCTCTTCAAGCACCCCTTTAACTCAGTATCCTCCGGTTCTTTTTGTAACGCGCACCACTCGTTCTTCACCCTCCATTTTGTTTTCATGTTTCATATCTTGCTTTGTAGTTCTTTGCTCGTTGCTTTGAATTCTTCGACCTTCGTTTCTTTTCCACCCTCTGCTCATTAACCGGTACTCTTTTTATTCTCCACTTCGTTTCGCTTCTTACCCTTCCACTCTTTTTACATAACACTTATTGTTCACTTTTTCCTCGCTTTTTACCCTTGTCACGATGTTCTTTGTTTCACGGTCTACTTGCGGTAGGCACTCCGTTCTGACGGCTTGCGCTTACAACTGTTCGACTATTTATTGGGTTCAGTCGTGACTACGCGATGCAATACATCGCAAGTGACCCACAGTAAGTTTAAAGTGCCCCACTATAAGTTTGAAGTGACCCACTATAAGTTTGAAGTAGCCCACGGTGAGTTTTAAGCAGACCACGATAAAGTTTCGAACAATTCACGGCAAGTAGAGGCTACTAAACTAAATTCAACGTAAATAAATAGAAGTACATTAATGTTTTTGTCGCGTACTAGTTTTGCAAATGTTTTCCAAAGGCTATAGAGCCCACGCAAGAGGAAACAGGAATTATTTGTTCCTCGATTCAATGGATATGGTTCAATGCGTATGGTTCAATGGATATTCAGCTTGGATGCGTTTAACACTCGTTGAAAAAATAACAAAAATTATTTTCAGTTTTGTATGTGTCGGGGAAACATTGTTCGTGTCCTGATGACGACGCTACATTCATCTCTGCAGGCTCATATCACCACTAAATGGATCGCGGGGCCCGCCCCACCATTCCGTGAAAAAGAATTTATCTTTCGGCCAGGGTGTCGGTTATTCACCGATGAAGCGATCGCAGGGGACGAGACAGCAACATTGCTGGCTCGATGACGGAAAAAAGTTCGGCAAAAAAGTGGCGAAAAAACCAGCGGCGAGTGTACAAACCCAAGGGATGAACAAGAGGGAGGTAGGGAGAGAGCACGTTAACGCGAGTGGGCCGAGATACCAGCGTGGCTAATTCAATGAACGTTCGAAAATTTTTAATGGAAGCAAGCACTGGCGATTCTTCGACGAATAAACATTTACCAAGCAATATTAATTTGGTTAAAAACATTCTCACGAAGAATGAGGATGAATAATCGTGTGGATCCCTAAATTGTGGTCTCCAAATGTTAAGGTTGGATCTGTTAAGGCTAGAACGGTAAAGGTACCAAAGCCTAACCCAGTGTTTCACGAAGTGGGGGTCTTAACGCTTACAGAGTGCATAGGAAAACTTGGAAATGTATTTAAAACTCATCGCAATTCCGAAACGTTCGGGAATCACTGGTCTACGACGATGGGAAAAGTATATTTCCAAAGCCGAGCTTTCGCCGCAAGCGCTACCGGAGCGTTCCACCAAGAATCGAACGATTTATCTTATTTGTGCTAGCATCAATCGGAAAACCGGAGCTCTTTCCTCCGACGAATACGAAAACGATTCACTGGGCGGGATCGGTGCCGCTCGCGAGGACATCATTCCCATCGCTGGACCGAGAGATTGATAGCGATCGGGGGATGAGAGGAGCAAAAAGGTGGGGAAACGGGAGAAACAACGAGGATGCGGGTGGAGGACGAAACTGGCGAGGCTGGAGGGCGCGGGAACGGTAGGGGTTAAAAAGTGAACGAGAAAAAGGGAGAATGACAACACGGGGAGAGCAAAAGGACTGGGAAGAGACAGAGGAAAATCAGGGAGAAAGAGTGGCGAGCACGGAGAAACGAGGGAGAGAAATGGGTGAGAAACGGTGACAGGGACGCAGGCCCGACAACACCCCGCGCAATAGGGCAAAGGTTAAAGAGAGTTGGCCGATTCCGCAATCGCTTGGCTGGCTTCCAATTTCACGACTCGGTTTTTACGGGCCGGACGCGGTGCGACGCGCCAGCAAAACATTGCAACGTGGATACAGGGACGGGCAGCGCCACCGACGCCCGGACGGGATGCTGGGGCTCGCTGCGAGAGGAGGAAATGTCGGTTAAAATAGACCGCCTTCGTTCGCGTCGTTCCATCCGACGCGCCGTTTCGCCCCCGATGCTGCGTGAAGATACCCGAACGGAATCGATTGCTCGCGGAAGATAAGCGCTCGTCAGAGTGTCGGCGCGATAAAGGACCGCTTTTCGTAATCCGAGTCGCCCGTTCCCCTACCCATCCTAGTTTCTTGGTCTCGCTGTTCTTGTTCCTCTTTGCTCTTTGGTTATCGGAACCTTCCATTAAACGCGAAATGCCAAGGATCGACGCGTGCGTTTCCTTCATGTACGTTCGGCAATCCTGTTTGAAATCGAAGCGTTCCGTGAAATTCGATGCTCAGATTGCGTTTGCAAAGCGCAGTTTGCTTCATGTTTCGAGTTATTCCCGATAGCAGACTGTTCAAACTGGCAATAAAAATCGTAGAAATTATCCGGGAACAACTATCGGATCTTGTTACGCGCCAGGCAATGCTTTTGGCGATTCCAAATCACTTGGACAACTTGACTTAAGGGTCCAATATCTTAACATTTGTAGGACAGTTGCCCACCTCGATCTAGAACTAACTGTGGTGACTTTGCTACGGAAAGTTGAAACCAAAATAGAAGGAGGAATGATCCTGAGCCTGCTAGTGAACTCATCAGTAAAGCAACCTGCCTTAAACGCTGGGACATTCTATGGTCGGTCGAGAATTTGCGAGAGAGGCGAAGGTTGGGTGTCCCTGTGTTGGCGAGTGCTGCAGGCGTCGCGGCGCGAGATAGCAGATAGAAAGCGGATAATCTGATAATATATGATGATCTTGGAACAATGGCTAAGATGGAAGAAGACACTCTCGCTTTTAAGAGCACAATTTCCGTCACGCTACGGAAAGTTGATCCCAAATAAACTTGTCGTCGTTTCAATGCTCGCGTATACTCCCAGAGGACCAAGAATCTGACACGCTAAGCTTCGTGTCGATTACTTATCCCGTTTCAGACGTCCCGTCGACGGGACCAGGAGAAAATACGAGCCGACAAGGCGATGGCGACCCGTCCAGGGATCAGTCTATAAATTTAGACAGGGCAGAAGGTAATTCTAGCCCCGGTCCCCCAAGCCGATAACCGGGAAAAGAAGTTCATTTAAAGGGGCCGCGTATTCGTCCGGCGGGCGGAACAAGGGTTGGACGTTCCGAGTTTGTTAGCCGGATTAGTGGATTACCGCGTCGTCCGCCAGATAAGTCAGCCTCCGGTCGTGGGTGCCACGACGTCGGAAAGGCTCTCCCTATAATTAGATTTCCTGTAAAGTTGTTCGGGGAATTTCAAGAAACGCGGTCCGTGCCGCGACTTCGGGAGCCAAGTCGCGAATGTCCTCGAGTTTTACCTGCTGGCCGGAGAACAAGGGTTCTCGGTCGATGGGAACAAGCAGAGAAGAAAAAGGAAACAGGGACATTTGAATTTCGAGGCTCGACAATGTGGGAAACGGGACGAAAAATGGGGCTGTCGTTTCTGCGTCGTTAATTTTACACGCGTCGTGGTTTCGTTTCACGCGGAAATGCTTCAAAAGGGTTTCGGCTCTTTTGTCCAGCAATTGTTAACCATTGGAGTTCTCGTACAGAGTGCTGCAAATGATGAGTTTAGGGTAGGAAGAGATCTATGGACACTTGGGAGATATCATCTAGGATCGGTCCAAGTCCTAGATGGGATTTAGGGAGTCTGGATTACGAGGATAATACTACTTCAAGTTGGTGGATTCGTTTGGAATTATTACTATCAGTTGTAACTGAGCTGAAAACAGATTTAGGAGTCTCCCACGGGTCATGCTTAGAACACCGTTTGTCGGGGATGATAGTTTGCAGCATGCTTGATTTTGAACCTTGCATATAAGCGCATAAACGGATTGAAGGCGAGTCCTGGGGTCAGGAAGCAATAGCCTGATAGATACGAGATCGGATAGGTTGGTCCTGGGGTCCAAATTTCCAACCGATATTTCAACTACGACACTCGGACACTTCCATTTAGAGATTCAGCGATCCGCATACAAGTCATTTAACAGTTGCACACTACTTAACCGCTTCAACTCGAGTAGTCTAAACAATCCCCGTTTCGAAATACCCAAGTCCCGTTCCTTATCGTAGAGATCTCCCGTTACGAATCACCAAAGTTTCGTTGCTAACCCGCTCTCCCTATCGCGGACGATTTAACCTATTTTTCTCCCGCTGGAAGACCCCCCATTCTGGAGAATTCGCCTATTTGTCTGCTCTCAGGGCTTCAGGTTCTTGTGTCCCGTCTAATTGGAAGCTATTTTCTAATCATTCTACGTGAATTTGTCCGAAAGCAGCGTCGCATTAGCTCGGCCGCACTCGCTGTGTCCTCTGCCGGCAACGATCGAACGAGTCAAATAAAAGTTCGAATAAAAAAAAAAAAAGGGAGAAACGAGTTACTGGAACGTCATAAATTTGAGTTATCTCGACGTCAGCCGAAATGTCGGTTCGGTTTGTTGCGGATCGCGAAAGGCGGCAGCCATAAATATAAATCGGCCGCGATGTCGGATCTTTTGTTGACGTATGAGCATTAAAAATTCATAGAATAACAAGGGTCGTCGCGTCTTTTTGCATTTGAAACGGGGCTAGAGCGACATTCGACAAATTGCACGAGGGCGATTTTACATGTAAATAGGCAGAAGGAAGGAATTAGGACTGCCATCGCGAGACTATAAAATTCTGATCGATCTGCATTTTAATCGCTGAATCATCGGAATTGGGTCACCATTTTCCACTGAAAAACAAAATGGCTGGACGAGCATTCGATTAGATAAATTATTGTAGCGTAGAACGAGGCATACGAGATCAGTGAAATTGGACAAAATTTTATTTGAATAATAAATGACCAATCAGGTCAACGTGTAGCAGTACCCGAGCAGTTCAATTTTGATTTGTTCATTCCGAAATTTGCATTTTTATTTGACGATTGATCATATCCATACTTCTAGTTAAGAAAGAAATTAATCTTTTTGAGATTGGTACTCCTTAAAACCCTAGAACTTCGTTCAATATCACCAATACTTTTGAGGTTATGGTCTCGCCCCGTTGTAAGCGCTTTGCCCCGATGTTTCTCGACCACGAATCGAAACTCGATCGTAGCTTGCGACGAAAATAATATAAATGGCAAACCTGGACCGGGTCTTACGAAGTTAGAACTTGTTTGCATCTTGTCGCCCGGCGAATAACAAAGTTACAACCCGTGCTCAACGATCAAAATACTCGGGCAGTGAACTTATAGCGCGAGGGACATACTAAATTGGGACGAAATTTGCATCCTGGGGCACACAGAACGATACAATTACAATTCTACCCGTACTTGAGGCAAACGAAAGAACGAAACAATTGCACTGACCGTAACGGGATATGCAAAACCAACGAAAGTTTCTTTCGTTTTGCTCGAAACCTCACCTGGTTACGTTAATCTGATCGGCGATTTCGACGGTTCCCAATTTACGATAGCCAGCGAACAGCATAGCGTTGTCCATTAAACCGGAACCTCTACCGTCGATGGTCGCGTAGATGATGCTCTTGTTCGTCACCAAATACGTGCCCCAATCGACTCTGAACTTCTCCGTGACCTGGTAGGAGTCAGGACCACCGTAACTGCAACAAGAAAGAAGGAATCCGTCAAAATTAAGGGACTCATGACACTTATAGATAGTTATTATTCTTTTTATATAGGTATTTTGTTTCTGGAAGAATCAGAATCAGGCGAATTTAGCGTGATGTACTTTGTAAACGTCCCCAAAGGTCTCCGCCATCTTTGAGAAGAAGCAAATCGCGCCACTTGATTGTAATATGACTGAAGTACACATTTCGAACTGTAAAGAGGTGAGTTCCCAACTCCTGATTGGTGTCAGAGCTAGGGACTTTTTTTTGTTAAAGTATAGATGCAATGTCACAAAGCCTCCTTAAGGCCTCAAATAGTCACAAATAGTGTTTCAACTGCAATGGAAACCTGAGTTCGCAGTTGCAATTAAAATTGTACTATAGTCGAACATAATGAGTAACCTTTTGAGATTAGAATCTGTCGACGAATAGTCGACCTTACTGAATTTTTGAAATTTAAAGAGAGGAAATAGATAGTAGTAATTGTATTGGAATAACAATTCGAATAATTTGCAAAGCATTAGGGAAAATTCGATTCGTTAATTTTCATTTTCGAAGCGAATTAATCTCGCACGATTTCATAAAAATTCACGAGGCACGTTTACATAGAGGCGAATGAATTTCGCGGCGATATTTCCGGCGTTTCGCGACACCCTTTAATAGAATAGAAGGTCGCAAAAAGTTTTTGATAAATGATATGCTGCGCCTGACGCGCGACGCCGCCGTTCTTCGTTTTTCTCCAGGGAATAATTCGTATCCGTTCCCGAAGACATTAAAGCGTATTCATACGGTTGTGTCTGTGTTTGCATATGAAAAATAACGCCTAACGAAACAAAGGCCGCCCGCAGAGAGATCGGGCTCAATTAAATCGTTCATCGTTCCTAAACAGTTCTTTATTCGTGGTACCGGCGAGAATTTCGTACAAATGCAATGGATATTATAAATTAGCAACCAGCAGCTATGATTATATTGTACAATTTTTGTATAAACTACAGTCTGTATAAAAATTTTTTTCTAACTTTAATTATCGATTTATCGTCGAGAACATTAAAGTGTTATCAGATCCATAATAAAAATAATTCTCTGGGCGGTCGAGGAAAGGGTGTAAAAGAGAATTTGAAAGACGAATCAATCTTCGTACGGTGTGCCGACAGGAGCGTATAAATATTTATAATTTGTTATAAATAGAAGAACGTTTTACGATCCATTGTGTACATTGACGGAAGTAACGGAGGGCTGAAATGAGGAATCGTGCAAGTCATTAGACTCGAAGGCGGCGGTTCCGTTTTTGTTGTCGGTGTCTGACAAGTGACGATCGTTCATTTGCATTGCAATCGTTTAAATTATGATTCGTGACCGCTCGAATAAATTTCCATCGCTTCAATATTTTCCGCGACGACGAGAGATAAATTTTACACGATTATTATAACGCGACTGTTGCAATAACGTCTTTTGCGATATTTACATGAATATAGCAACAGTGCCGAGTGTATAAAATAATAATCGAAAAACTACGTTGCAAGATACGCCGGTATATGTAAATAAACTTCCATTTAATTACTCATTAATCACACGATACGACTATAATGCGAGATTAATTACAAACAATGAATAATTTATATACCGCGGAACGGTAGTTAATAACTTCGCTGTATTTGGGATTAATTATCCGATGTTATTAATCACCCGAAACGAGCGAGATTTCCAATTAAAAGTTCACGCTGACGCCGCTGTACAGTGTCTTCGTGGCCACTTAACGACAAAAATTAAACTTCCGCGTGTTAACTTTCGATATTGAACGAAAATCGTATGCAAACAATATTAATAAGCTTCTCTCGCGCGCGACATAAATTTTGTAATAATTGTGGATTATCGTTCTCGTCGAGCAATCGATACTGGCGAACAAGAAACTTGGGTAACATTATTATAGAACTTCGGTATTAATTTACGATCAAATTTACTGGCAAAAACTTCTCGACAAACATTTTGAGACGTCGCGCCGCATTTCAAAGTCAAGGACGCCACAATTGGTACATACATTGGTTCTCTCTTTGCAACTCAAAACATCGAGAAACGCAAAAATCCATTAGGGGAGGGGTCAAATTTAGAGTGATAATAATAACCACACTTTCTTATATTGAGTACTCACACGAAAATCAGCATTGGATACTTCGTGGCCCCGGTCAAATCAGCGTTGGGTGGAATCAGTAGTCTAACTCGAGCTTTGAACCCACCAGGTATCGGTACATTGTAACGATGTACCACTGGCTGCAATTTCTCCGCGATAATCTCCGAGACTGCTTCGTTGCTTTCCCACGTGACCAATTTCGAAGATTCCTAGAACAAAATAAGAAAGACACATTATATACACCCATGAAATTTCGCGAAACAGAAATGAAATTTTCCGTAAGGAATTTTTTTCTCGAAAGTAGGTAGCATTTCGAGGGTATGTCTATTGACTAAAAATGATTGTAATTGACCTCTGCAACTAAAAATAATTTTGTTCGAATGATTTGAGATTTTTTTTTAGACCGAAAAATTTCAGCACCTGTTGACGATTTTGTATAAAAATTCGTTTTTGATGTTTAATAAATTTATTTAACGCTCTACGGATATGTTGTTTAAGAACTTCTGCCTTTTAAATACTGAATACTTCAGTAAAAGCTCGGTACCGTAACGAATTTGTATCTAAACAGTGGAAAAAGTCGCTTCAAACGTCCAATCGATACTCGAAAGCTTCTTTTCTCCCTCCCGTGGGATCTCTGCGACTTCCAACCCTTAATTTAGCCCCATTTCACTATTTCTCCCAATGAGTGTCCGACCAAGTCATCCTCAAGGGGATAATCAAGCGGGCGATTAATCAATATTTTAGGATTTCTTTTTGCACAAACTCCATCGTTTCATTATCCCGGCGTGTCTGTTTTGTTTAAAAATGGCAAATCAAAGGGCGAAAGTCTTTTCAAAGCGCTGTACAATGCGAGTCACACAACTGGGATAAATCCCAACTTAACCCCGATTGGAGATAGCAACAAATCCTGCAGGACAAAGTTGTACGTCGACCCAAATACAAACAAAAATCAATTTTTCTATTTCGATTGAAATTGTTCAATATTTTCTAAGTCATGGCAATCAAATACGAATAAAATTACACAGAAAACAGTCAGCAATTGTGCAAGTATAAATAATAATTTACAGACTATAGTCTTCATCTATTTCTATCGATCAGATATACCACATACATGTATATATCCCAGTCGCGTAAGCCCGTCTTATTCTCCCCCTTTTCTTTATCGTTTCAAGCCTCGAAGTTCTATCCTGACAAAGAGTAACAAGATTGAACAGAACCATCGCGGGTTTTCTCACTGTCAATAAAATTTATCCGAGTGTCGATAGCTTCGAGCGACAGAAATAGTCGAAAACGACTATACCCCGTATCGTACGGCGTATAGTCGCGAGTCTTTTCAAATCAGCGATACGCGTTTCCCCGTCCTCGATTTCGCCGCGACTCGCGTGAAGGATGACACAACCTCCCCTTTTCTTTCTGACGCGCGATCGAAGGCTTCGCGCACTGGTCGCGCGATCTCAGAAACAGATGGCCCAAGTTTTAAGCCACAATGCATCAACGTCGAACACGTAGCGGCGCGTTTTCTTACCGAACGGCGAGACACCCTTGAGTTTAATGTATTATTCCGTGCGTTTAATCTTCCGCCCAGTCGACGGATTTAGTGAGTCCCCGCGGGGATCCACGTGGCTGCTGGAATTTATAAATCGTCATCGCGAGCGTTAATCCCTCCGAGGATCGACTACGAGATTCGTTCCGGTCTATCGTCCTCACTTCCGGCTCGATTACGCGTCTGCCACGGTAAACCCTGGCTCCGTGGATCCTGATGGGACCCTTAAAATTCTTTCCTTGCGTGCCAGGAATTACCATATTAATAATATGATGGGTTCCGTCATCTGATAAGGTGACGTTTGCAATTGTGCAAGCGGCCCTCGAGGATTCTTGCACCTTACTAGGGTCACCAGCTACTCCTCCAATTGCTATTACCAGCTGCATCACTATTAGGAACCTAATGACTTGCTCCACCACCACACCAGGTGTCTTACATGATCCCTCATGCTGTTGCAGAACTATGCAAGCGTTTTTTCAGGATCCTTACGTCCCTGTAGGAGTCGTAACCTACTCCCCAGGTGGTGTATAGAGATCTACCCCCTTGGTTAGGTACCTACGATCCACTATTAGCGTCGTACGAAGTCACGATACAGTAGTAGTTGTTTCAATCCACCAACAGATCTCCCCAGGTCTTCAAGTTTCGTGGAAATAATTAAAACATCCAGCAACTGCGCGGAAGAAGTCTGAACGCGAAGGAGAAGTCTAATTTCCTGAAGGATTCCATCTCTGCCAGACGTTCTTCGTACCCCATTAAAGATTCGACATCTAAAATCAGCGAGCAGAGTATTTCCACTCCGATATTACGGGCGGGCATCGTTGGGCGCAGCCTGGAGACAGAGGTTCGGTGATGCAAGAACAAGACACTTTCCATTCATCGTTTTCCTCTTAAGAGAAGGAAATTAGTTCTTCCGACGTCGGTCTGGATGGGGAAGGCGCTTGTCCGCGAGAAAAGCCGATTACCAGCTGTAATCGTCCAGCATTGAACGGTTGATAAAGAAGCTGAACAGTCGAATCTTTGCTTCCCACCTTTCTTCTCTTCGTTTTCGTAAATCGCGATAGGCGACGCTCTGTGACGCTTCGGCTCCTTTCAATTCCCGTTCATCGTGTTCCGCCTTTTTTCGGATAATCTAATTACGCGCTGGATAATCGAACGCCCCCCCCCCATCCCCCCATTCACCCTCTAACGAAACTGCCGACGTGCTATTGCTTTCCCATTGACCGTGCCGTTTCCCTTTTTATACTCTTTACACCGGCTGTTCTCAGCATCCTCTCGATGAATTTGAATCGAGCGCCAAGTTGATCCGAGGGAGGAACGAGTGGTCTTGTAAGGCGGCGTAGCACTTCTGTTTATTGAAACTGCGACGTCGAGGATGGGGGAGAGGACAAAGGCGCGAAATTTAACGCCTTCGCTTGACTCCTCGTTCGATGAAATTGATACTATTAGGACTGGGATAAGTAGAAACCGATGGGATGTCTCTGGATCCACTTAGAATACTCTACAAGGCGATGGTATTATTTTTATGAACGAGGCTCAAAGGATGCATGTGTGCCTGAATACCGAATTAGCACTGTACAGCGCTGCTTTGCTGAGGGTAGGAACTCGTGACAATCGTAGGAGGCAGAAAAGGAAAAGAGGGGGTGCGTTTCGTCCGGGCCTGCTAGTGGACTCGTCAGTAAAGCTTTTTAGCAGACCCTGCCTTAGACGACTGGGATATTGGGAAGTCGGTCGAGCGCTTGTGAGAGCGCGACCCCTCTGGTGGTGACCATGGGAGGCGACATCACAGCACTTTGAGTAGCTTGTATTTAAAGTTCAAATACTTTGGAGTACTTTGGAACAGTATTATCGATACTCAAATACTTGAGACGTCTTATTTAAGCACTGGTATTCTAGTACTTGAGTTCGGATCCACAAATACTAGTGTTCAGGTACTCAAGTCATGCCAGTACTTGAGTCATTTGTGCTTAATTATTTGTGCTATACTGCTTAGCTGCTGGAACTCAAGTACTTTCATCCCTCTACTCAAATTGTAATACTCATACTCTGATATTCAGGGATTTGAAGTGTACTACTATACAAGTTTTTGAGTACGTGATTCATGTTATCCAAGATCTAGGGCTAGTACTCAAGTTTTTGAGCCCTGCTACTCATGTACTAGTACTCGAATATTTGAGTCGTGTCACTTAGGTCAAGTTCTGTTACTAGTACTCGAGTATTTGAATTCTACTATGAAGTCACCAGTACTCGAGTACTGGTATTCGATTACGTAAGTCTGTATTAGCTATCTGTTGCGTAGAATTGTTATATCGAGCCTGAATGGTTACGAACGATACGTTTGATTCCGATTCGAGAGAATCGCGATTACAAATGCACTTTATTTGTCGTTTAATCGTTGTCAGACATCGGAGCTCGTATACATTTTCGCGTAGGCCGCGCAAAATGGCCGACCCGGCCGGATCGTGTTTGTTTGTTAAGCGGTGGTAAAATTTATTTAATTCGACTCGCTGATAACAGTTTCATGTTGCGTGTACTCGTCTCTGATAAACGCGATTTTACCGCGACAAATTGTTGTCCGCGTGGCCCCGCAACGATTTGTCAAACGATTATAAAACGTGCCATTTCGCCGTATAAATAGCTTGTTTATTTATAATGGCGTCGGTGGTGCATGAAAAACGGGCAACCGACGATTCATGAAGTGACGAATAGTTTTGCGTCTGATTAATATTCAAGAGCACCGCGAACAATGGAATCGTAATATTTTCAAAACAAATTTTCACGCTTCGGATACACCGAAATGAAACGAACCGAGGGGGGAACGAAGATTTAATCCTTTGTAAAGATTCGTGGCGGATAAGAAAATTACTTAATTAAATTAAAATTCAATTAGGAAGTTAGATGAAAGTTATGGGGACGGAGGATTCTTACAGCGCGTACCTTCAATTTTCATTTAAATATATTCAAATGGAAATATAATAAAAGATAGGAAATGGTGAAACAACCGTGGGGCTGCGTTTAAATTAAATGTGATAGAATATAAAACAAAATGTTTTATAGAGCGAGTTCTTAAATTTGCATTCCAGAATACCGTTAAAGAAAGTTTCTACCCTTTTGGAGCACCACAGTCAAGTGAAACAGAGTCGTGAAATACGACCACGGCACAAACGAGGAAAACACTCAGAAGAGTACGAAAAGGGAAGCAGATTGTGGTAAGTGAATTAAGAAATTAGATTAAAATTAAATCACGAAAGCGAAACATTGCATTATGCAGCCCTTCACTTTTTGTTCCAAAATACTTTCGGATATATGTGGGTGTAGATGAGAGTTTTATTAGCATAATAGACCACTCATTTTCAGCAGAGTATTTATCAACACTGCGTTACAACCATATGCTGATCCTCTACAGAAATTATAACTAAAATAATATTATCCAGATGCTGTTACTGCTCGTATTTTAATTAAAAAACATGATATTATGTATTTTACACGCCTACGTTGCGTTTTCCTATTAAGGAAACAAAATTGTTATCGAATGTATAGGACGTAATTATGTATAGTTCGGCCAAGCGAAAGTAAGGTCTGCGAAACATGCTACTCGAACGGACGTGCGAAATTTATGCAGTGACAAGTTTTGTGCATGAATATTGCATGTCCTTTGACACGTAACGTAGGTGCAGACAGAATAATAAAATCGAGAACATACAGTAAACAAAGAATATTCGTTACAACAGATTTATACGGTACACAAAGGATATACACGTAAATTAAACGAAAACCAGACATACGATACGCGTGCCGCGAGCCATCGATTTATTCCACTCGAAGGAAAAAATTCAGGATCGAGTCGTGCAAGGGTTAACGTATGGAATAATTTCGAAGAGGGTCAAGCATATGGCCGAAACGTGAAATTACTTTTTCCCAGGGTAAAAGGAGCCCTTTGTCGCGATGAAATTCACACCCTGCATCGAAATTGTCGCCCATTTAGGAACTATGAAATCTCACGCGTTACATCTCGATAAACTTTTCACGTTTTCCGGGGCGGGGAGGCCGTGGCGGGATCGACCGACGGAATAAAACCCGCCGCAACGGGAATGGAGAAACTCTCGAGGGTGTAAGAAAACTGTTGAGGGGTGGGTGAGAGATCGACGGGCGGCGAAAGAAGTTCGAATATCGAGGATACGAGGCTACCTCCCCGCTCGTGATACGCTAGCGTGCCTAAAACTGTCGCGACAATTTGTTACTTCTCCGCCAACCGCGGACGTTTCTAACAATAAGCGCGGGCATAAAACATAGATCCGAAACGTGAGGTCGGTGGAGTGCCGGCGCTTCCGGGACACTGACAAATAACTGTGGTACACGTACAAGAGATCGACGATTTATCGGACAGGGTTTGCTTATGTAGCGACTTCCCGCGATCAAGCTGGATTTTTCCCGTCTCTGGTCCACGAGTTCGTGCATAGGAATAAATCTTGACGATGTGCATTCGTTCGTGAACGCGCGAATTAAGCTTTAAACATTGCTGCGAATCGCGAATGTTATAAATAAAACTAAACCATCGATGTTTTATTAACGTTCGAAATCCGTATTCCAGCCATATTTAGTTTTATTAAGTTCAAAAATATTGAATTGGCTTGTTGAAGACTGTTAAAATATTTATTGTTTGTGAAAAACAAGCATTAAGTATTATTCTGACTGATTAGAATATAGTAAAACCGAAGGAAACTAGGTACTGATTTTAAGTAGAAATATCGAGTTCTGGCCAGACAGGGTAGGAAAATCGTATTTCTAAAGGTTATCGTCCACTTAGCAACCTCCGATTCTTATGAAATTTGGTACGCAGGTAGAAGAGTGAACAACATTACACACGTATTTTTTTAATAGCCTGATACTTATAGTTTAGGGGTGAAAACTACCCTAGAAGTTGTAAACGTAGTTAGTGAAGATACCTCAAAAAATAATGGAGGTAGACAAAAATGTGCAATATAAAAATACTTGAGCTTCTAACGAACAATCGGTAGGAATCGATAAAAATATGATTAAGTTATAGATGGCGCTACTGTTGCCCCCGAAACGAAGCCTCGTATCAAACAATTTTATTGCACATTTTCGGTCAAGCTTTTCGCAAAGAACTCTACTTGTTGCAACTCAGCCTATGGAATTTCAGGAGTAGGAGTAAATCTTGGCATTGTAGAGGGACGAGAAAGATTCGTCGTAAATTAAAATTGGCACAATACGACTCGTAATTCTTTCTAGAAATAATCCTTCTTTATCTCGAATATAGAGTGTGTTTTCTGGGCCGTGCATAATGCTTGGTACACTCTGTACCCTAGCGCGAACCGCGTTCAACACCAACGACCAACAACGCCCACTCACCCTGTTGTAAATGGCGATGTCAGGCACTCCAGGGCCGGCGCAAGTGAGCACGTAATGCGAATGATCGGTGGAAAACTTGGCCGTGTTGTACAGACACCGACTTCTGTCCGTTTCACGGACGATGCTGCAGCTCAAGCACTTCGGTTTGCGGTCCGCGCCACGCATGGATATCCTGTACAGATGCTGCACCGCGGACTCCTTCTCCGTCGTGGCCAGGTAGTACCTACAGAACAGGTAAAAAAATGTTAAGCGTTCGTTTGCATAGCTCGTACCGCCTTTAATGGCTTTGTAATCGCCCAGCAGGGGCTGGAATTTGCATTTCAACGAGCTTGTTCTGCTTAAGGTACTAACTAACACACCGCTGCTCACCACCGAAAAAAAGAACATCTTGATGCACTCGTCTCCGCTTCCGAGCGCTCTTCGAGTCCCTTCGAATCGGAGACTGCCGAATTTCAAAATCATTTTAGTTTATTTGGGAGTCTTCCCACTTTTTAAAAACGTTCTTTGTATAGAAAAATACGTTTTGAGAAAAGAAAAGAAATTTTTTTAACAATACATGAGTCGAGATTGTACACGCAGGACTCACGATGAATGTTTTCAAGGTGAGGGTCAAGTTTGGCAAGTCTTACGTCAGTGGCGCCGTTTCGAACCTGTAAAGTCTGATTAATACGTTCCGCTACCACTGCGAGTAGTCGAGCCAGCGACGCGATCGTACCGACGGTTCCATTTGCATTAATGCGGATCGATTGCTCGCACTTAATCAACGCGTGATTAACCCGAATAACGGGGCTTCTTTCTCGGGTTAAATTCGGATCAGTTTCGAAGCGCTGATAAATTATCGACAACAGCGAAAACGTTTTTGAAGGAAACGATCGAAAGCAGAGGGTAGAGGGGGCACTTGGCGCGGGAGATTAATCGAACCGGCGTTAAAAATTGATTCAATGCTCGGCTCTCTTAGACGTTGGGCGAGTAGGTTGAAAAATTTCGAAACGGTCAATCTTTCGGAGTACTCCGGTTATACGGCTCGTTCTCGTCTGACTTCCACCGAAAATTCGACCCTCGTTTATTCTTCACGTGCACAGACACGCGTTTCCATAAAATTGAACAGATCCTCTTAAGGCCAACTATGGCGCCACTTTAGGCCGAAGGAAACTCTAAACTGAACTCATTTCACCGGAATGAGTCAGCACTTCGAACCCCCTTCTTTTTATGTCTACGTTCTCCGCCGCCTAGTCACGTACCACAAAATTTCACGACGCTACACAATTTTCCTTGATGCCGATATAATGCCCATATAATGCCACGATTCTATTTACACTCATCGAACCACGATCTCTCCAGGGAGGTTGTTTCCATTCCGTCTACCTAGTTTTCTTTAACCTGACACCACTTCGGGCTGCAGGCCGTCTCGGAGTAAACTTTTTTCCCTTAAAAGGGCACGCAGTTTTTGTACCTCTGACAGCTAAACTGGAACCATTTTTTCAGGTTGGTTTCGAGTCTGATTCAACGTAAGACCACCCTTTCGCGCTCGATAGTCTTTTTACCCATCTCGACGCAGACAATTGGTCCAGTATACCATGCTACCTAATTATTAGCAAAGTGGGGATTTGGAATGTCGGGTCAAACACTCGTCGAAGACATAAAGAGCACTTGGACCTTCATCGATTGTAGATAGCCTCCCTAGTCGAACCTATTGAAACCTACATCTGTGTGTATGTGTGTGGTTACTCCAGAACTAACCTCTTCGCGTCCAATGGTGCTCACTGCAAAAGCTAAGATCCAATCCCGAATTTAAGCAGTACAGTGAACTCGAAATCGTTTGCCCAACTTTTGAACTTGGACAGACTTTGACCTCAAGTTCCACGAAGGGTAACGCTGTAGATTTTTGGCTATTTCAAAGTACTGAAATTATATCGACCACCAAACAAAATACATTTTTTCAAGGGACGATTGGGATTTTTAGGACATACTAGTCTACTTGTTCTTAGGACTTCGTGTAAATTTATACTGAATATTGTGTGTAGGATGAGACACTCCGAATTCTGCTCGCGTAACTTTTCGACTGTACATTTACATTGATCAAATCCCATTCTTTCAAGGGAAAGATGTTTCAATTTTCAGTGTGCAGCTCCCTCAGACTGGAGTCACTTTAGATTGAAATACAATCTTTGTTAAATTTATTTCTCTAGGAGGACGTCGACTTGGCTCCCTTAAGCTGATATTCTGCGTCATCTACGGCTGTAAACGCATTTAACGTGGGAAGAAAAGTTAAAGTAAATAGGAGTGGTAATCTTCAATTGTTTTGTAACAGAAGATAATTTGTTTCCAAGATAATATTTCTTCAAGAGACAGAAGTAATTTACCTTCTTTATTTACAGAAAAAATATATGCACTCTTCTACAACAATACCAGAATTTTCCACTCAGAAAGGGTGAGTTTCAAAACTTTGTAAAGTGAACAAAATTACACAGGAGTCAGATGTTTATAAAGTGTCGCTATTTTATCAATTTTGAAAATTTTTTAATTATACTTATTGTTATCATAGATGGACATCTGCGAGTTGTAAAACCCTTCGACTTTTTGAGCTAGCTCAATTGGAAGCGGAGATATTACATTTTTTTCAATTAACAATAATATTCATATTATTTGTTTGAAACCTAACATAAAAAAAATATTCATTGAATAGCCATAGCGTGACAAATAAATGGTGAAAATTTCAAATGAATCGATCGTACGGTTTGCTTGGAATAAATTCCTAAAGAGCCCTTAGTTCTCTTCCGAGAATACGACGTTCGCTTAAAAATTGACCTGCATCACTGTTTTTTAACACTTTAGGTCCTATTGCACGTTCTACCCTCTTGCAGAAACTTGATTTGTTGAATGATATAAATATTTATTGACCAGATCTAAAGTGGAAGACATCGTTCATCTTTGGAAGGCTCATAGAATACAAGTTACTCTTTTTGTTACTTTTTCGACGTTGTTGGCGAGTAGGAGTAAGGGCAGGGGATGGTCGAACGACGTCTGAGCAATTTCCGTGGCGCGGTTCGACGTATCCGCAGCCGGATATCGGAGGGCCAAACTGGAACCTGGGTCCCAACAGCCAGTTTTGCCCCGACTAATCCGTGTCTAATCTAAATCTGCGTCTGTCGACTCACTCCGCCGCACAGGGCCGCTTACGTCGCAATTCCTATGCGCATAGATCAGACGTAGCCAGCCGGTTGGACAAACACGCTGCCATCCGGCTGGCTTCGAGCAGCGATTCTGCTACAGAATCCAGTCTCGAGGATTCTAGACATTTTTTAATAAACGTCCATCCCTGTACCACCGGATAACAATTTTCGAGCGTCTCGGAATATCGATTCCCTGACAATATCTTTCTCCAGAATTTCAAAGATATACTATAACAATTATTTATATATTATAAAAAACCTTGAAATTTTTCTCTCTATCATCGGGAAGAATGGAAACATTCGACGTATTGAAGTTAAGTGGAACATTCTGCGAAGGGAAACCGAAGGATCCTGCGTACAATGGGGAACGGTATAATGGACATTTTGTTGAACAGTCTGACGCCTGAAAACAAATGCATTCTTGCTAAAAAACAGCAATGAATGTCAGGGTTTTAGCAGGAATCTCGCGACATGCCAGCGAAGGGCAATTAAGCGTCCTTATGTCAGACGTTCGGATCCGAGGCTGCTAGGTCTGATTTACAACGTTCCGCTACTACTGCGCACAGTCCGGTCTGTAACGCGATCAAACTACTAGGTTCCATTTGCATTAATTCGGATCGATCGCTGGCAGTTAACGAACGCTCGATCAATCCGTATTATTCCAGGTTCTTTTAATGCCAAATTCGCGCGCCGTCTGTCGATATTTCAACCTACCAACAGATGCAATTATCGCGCTCTTTAAAATATCGATTTCACCCGCGTCCATCGACTAATTTACTTATTCCTTCGCGAGTCTTTTCCCGATGTCTCTGAAAACTTTTCCCCGACTTTCCAGCGAATGATCTCGCTCGTTTTTTCACTCGATCGGCGTATTAAAACTACGTTACGTATTGGCGAAATATAAGGCTATCTTAAATGTTATACAACCTCCAAAATTGCGAATTATTATGGAAATATGTACTTTCAGCCTTTTTGCTTTTATCTATGCCGTTAAAGTTTTTGGCTAATTTAATTAATATAATATGTTCTACATTTCTGTATCATTTTTAAGAATTGGTGAAATTTATTCTAGAATTTCGATGTATTCAATATAAATTTTTTAAATAAGAGAATTTTCATGCTGGATCCTGCATTTGGTATCAGTTACTTTCATCCGTATCTCTGTTGCTCGATGAAGCCTGATTCAACGGAATTTTAAATCAGCACCGGTCCACGGTAACGCGCAATATTTTTACGGCTCGAATATAACGCGAGCGCAGTTCTTTGAAATTTATTTTAGGTAAAAAACCCATCGCGTTACATTTGATCCGACGGTGTAATTATTTTTGCCCTTAATTCATAAAATAATATAAAAATTCTTTGTCACGGTGTCAAAAGAAAACAATATTCGAGCTTCCAAAGATTGTAATTACTGTAGGTTCTGTCGGGGGATATTTGTCCAAAGTCAAAACTACGTGTCATAAATCATATAAGCGACACAGAGAATAATTTTAATTTTAAAATTTATATATCCGTTAATGAGAAATTTTTTTATTAGTAGTTCTGTAAATTATGAATTTAATATTGGACGAACCAATGAAATTTGTTTATACAGCGGACGTGATTTATTCAAAGCACTTTTGTGCGGTGATTATCGTTCGCGTCTCAATTATTTCGGTTGCTCGATCGCGTGCAGTTTAATCCAAACTTTATACTTCGAAGTTTGATCGTTTTAGTGGCACTTTCAGTCCCGTGTTTTATGCTTCCGCAGTTTTACAACCATGTTCGTACGCGTTCTTCTAACGCGGAGGAAAGAAGTTCAGTATTTAATGTTGTCGACGTAATCACCGTCACCGATTGGTCGAAATCACTTTGCAAAGTTATAAATTAATACGAGTAAAAATGCTCGGTACTTGCAACGAAGCACAAAAATAACAGCTCAATTTTAAATTCTATCCAGAACCATCAGATTATGAAATATAAAATATACACAGAAATATTTAACGGAGACTCTCTAGTTAACGAATTAAAAAATGTCGAAATATTAAAATAACGTGCGCTGAATGCAAAT